CACGGTGAGCTTTCCGTTTCAAGACATGGGCCATTTTGCGGGCCCCTCGTCCTGGGACACCGTCGGCTATGTCTGAGTGTTTCGCTATAAGGGGCCGAGACGATGTGTTGTGTGACATCTTTTACTTAAATTTACAAAATAAGTGGGACACAATAGGTGCGTTGTTCATGGCAACGGCTTTTGGGCGACGCGATTGGCGTCTCGGAGAATGAGGTGTATGGTTTATCGCTTTTAGGTATAATGCCATGTGCGGCCGATAGCGGCTCTCATTTTTAGATGCCCGAGTCACCAAATAAAGGTGACTAAGGTAGGTCGATGGACCTAAATACAATCTGAATCATCAAATATGCCCGGTTCACCACTTTGGGGTTTTTTTAACCCGCTCTAACGGTGGTGATAATAATAATAACGCCAATAATAATGCATTATTAGAAATCTCGGGAAATTTTAATCCGTCATAATGGTCTTCACCACCTCAGGGGATTTTAACCCGCCATAATGGTGGTGGAAATAATATAACTAATAATAGTAATAATTATACTACTATCATTTAATAAATATTTTAAGTGTATAAATAGGAGTATTGGGCACTTAGCTTTTATTTGTGCCGTTTGAGATAATGGGCCTGTGTAGAGATTGGATCTTTGATTCCTTATTGCGCAGCCCCACAAATATTTTTAACCCGGCGGTCCTTTGTTTGCTTTCTTGTTTGGCAAGCAGGCAGCCTTGCCTGCGACGACCAAGACCCCTAAGCAGTGCACAGCTGCTGCAGCTTGTCCATGGGAGGAGCCCAGTAGTGAGGATAGCGATGGGGAGACCCTCAGACAGTACCAGCGGAGGCAAAGCTCCGTCGTACGGAGACTGACGCCTTCCTCCGGTGGACCCGGCGGCAGAGCAAAAAAAACGACTGGGAGCGACTCACAAGAGCTCCGGTGGCACTGGCGAAGCTTCCCCTGCCCCACCTTCGACTGATACACCCTTCAAGTTGACCCAGTAGAGGAGTTCCGATATATTACTCTTGGAGCTTTTAGCTGCCATTAAAGGCGGATGTTTGAGGTCAAGCTCGAGCAACTGAGTGAAATAACTGGAGATGGTAATCGTGGCCTAGGCTTCGACGTTTCGAGCAGCGACGGAGCCCAGTGCAGTGGTGGAGTGACCAGGCGTGACACCGGAAAGGCTGTCACGGAGGAGATCGTACCTGGTACAGCGAGCTGCAGAAGACGGAACAAGCGGCTTTGGCTCAGTCCATGGAACGGGTGGCGAACTTTTGCCGGCTGCAAGCCACTGCTATTGGCATGTGACGGGCGACATCGGGAGCCTGGCGCACAACGGTCCTTGCTGCTCCGATCTCCCCAGACATAACTCAGATTCCTTTGCTGCACCGATCTCCCCGGACGTAACTCAGATTCCGTTTTTGTTGTTGTTCAATTTCCAAAACAGTTTCTTGGCTGAATTCTTTTGATTCGAATGAATTTCTTGATGTTTGTGGAGAGGAATCTCACTTGATTTTCTCAAAATTCTCAACGAAAGCACCATTGATGGATTATAGGGATCCAAACAGATACTCCCTCCGTCCCGAAAAGGTTGGCCAAATTTCCGTTTTTGGATGTCCTAAAAAGATTTTCCATTTCCATTTAAAGTAAGGAATATGTGGCTAAAATTAATGCTATCTCCTCTACACAAATTTCAACCACGCAGTTTTTACTTTATTAATCCACGTGAAAGTCAACTTTGGCCAACCTTTTCGGGACGGAGGGAGTATAATTTAGGGAGAGATTGAGCTATAGAGAGAGATGAATGAATAGTAGAATGTTGTATGAACTCATTCTAGGGTTTACAAGCTCCAAAAGGAGTATATATAGATAAATCCGGGTTTGAGCCTCTAATATGGGCCTGACAGGCCCGGTTACATAAAAGAACTGATAACATAAAAGGCTAATCTAGAATATCTGAATAATAATGTACAATAATATGAATGACATCCGATAAGCGTGTGTGGGCCGTTGTTCGGGCCCAATAATCGTGAGACATGTGGGTCCGAGTCTATATACTCTATCACATGTTATAAATAACTCCTACGCTTTTTAAGCCGTGCTAAAACGGATCAGTCAGTAATAACTATCTTTATGAGTACAATAATTGTAATAACTGATGCGGGAACCAAACGGCCAGATGAAAGCCAACGGGCAGAGCTATGCATATGTGTGTATATATAAACCCATGTACGGCACACTTCGGGGACACACTCAGGCCCGTCACACACTGGCTTGATGCCAAAAAGAAACCAAAACCAGTCCAAAACATTCCAAACATAGTCTCTAGTACTAAAGGAGAGGTTGAAAGTGGCTTTTGGAAGCAAAGGAGGGCGTCGGATGCAGGGCCGGTCCTTGGGGGAGGGCAGCCACCCTAGGCCCAAAACAAAGTAGAAAGCAAATTAGACCCAAGTTATTTTCTTTATATGAAATCTGAGTAGGCTTCTTTTTTATTTATAATTTCAATTAATTAATTAGGCCTAATGTGTAATTTTTGTTGACAATTTAAAATTTTTAAAACATAAGTAAAAAGTCTTGAATAGAGCTAGACAAGTTTTAAAAAAGAATGTAAATTTAGTTTTGATTTTTAAATAGATTGGTTGTCGGTCAACACATTTGTTGTGGAATCAATAAAAACACGTCTCTTCACATCTTTTTAGCCTTTAAGACTTTTTATTCTTTTTTATTACAAAATTACGAATTTATATTATTGTCTTTGGGATGCCGGTGCCTCCCAATTCTCAAACATCATCCCAATTATCTATTATGCCTAAAAAAACTTAATGGATTAGCAATTTTAAACATTGCACATCTGATCTTGGAAAAGATTGATTATAAAGCAATTATTAATGCTTTTACTTCACAATGTTTTTTGTGATACTTGTGTTGTTAATTTTGTCCAAATACGTATTTTAAATAATATGAAGGTGAATTTCATCTTTATTTTATAACCTTTATTAAATAGTTGTAGGGAGAATTTGATATGCACTAATTAGTAGTGCATAAATGTATATTTTTATGTTGATTGATGTGTATTGTTTATCGTTTTATTTAGTTTGTAAACATTTGTGTGATTTTAGTTGTAATTGTATTTTATTCTTCATTTGTAAGTTGTTAAGTAGAATTAGGAATTATGTTGTTGAAAAGGATGACTTAGAAGTAAAGAAAAAGGAGGTTTTACTGTCCAGGAGCAAATACCCAACCGGGTTGGAGACTTCACCCGGTCGGGTCTGATTTCAACAACCGAAAATACCTGGAAAGTGCACTCACCCGGTCGGAGGGTTGCTAAGTGACGATTAGTTAACGTTCCGACATTAATTACTACTAGAAACGATCAACGAACCGATGGTTAATCGTTGGTGGTTTCATAAGTAAGTAACTTCGGTTTATTAATGCACGGTCGTGGTTAATAAACTTAAGAGGGATCAATTTTGTTGGTTAAACCGAAACCGTTGTGTTAAGGTTATCAATCTCAATTGATTTCATCAAGGAGTTAAAAAGATTGAATGCTACTATTATATCGGTATATGGCGTTGTTCTATATTTGATTAATAGTAAGGGTTATTAATGAACGGTCGTTGTTAATAACTACCCTCGATGAATTGGAGATACTCCTCGATTGAGTATTCGAGAGGGGATAAGTTATAGATATAACAAGGATCGACTAAAATATATCAACAAGTGGAAAGTAACAAAGCCAAGTCCTTTTTATCTTTGAATTAAACACATATAGGTATTGTTGTCCCCTTCTTTTAGCCAGTTTATGTGTGCTTTTTGCTTCCAAAATTTCTTTTCTAACTTGTACTTTTGTATCAGAAGCCCCTAATTACGTTGTATTATTGACGGGACGTCTGCGCGGCATCTTTATGCCGCCGGCAGAGGGTAACGAGCTGGCGGCTGGAACATCGAGGACCGCTTATGCAGCGGCGGTAAGGGATCCTATCCCAGGCCACCGATTGCACTCTCAACCCGTTTCGTTTTCAACCGTTGACTCCTAGAGTATCCATGGCGAGGCCGGGCGATTCAAGGGTTTCCCGGCAGTCAATTTCTCTGATTCAGATATGCAGGTACTATCGGTTAATTTTCGATTCGCTCTAGTGGGAAGCTTCCCTTCCGGCAGACCACCCCTAACTGCGATTCGGAAAGCACTCGAAGCTCTAGGGTTTTCTCACCCCTATTCTGTAGGTCTTCTTCGACCTCATTTGCTTATTTTTAACTTTCAACCTGATTCGGACTTCCAACGTTTTTGGATTAAGAATTCCTGGGATTTCTATGGATTTCCCATGACTCTAACGAGATGGACTCCCTCCTTCTCAGTTCATTGTGATTCCCCTCTAGCACCCGTTTGGGTGGCCCTTGAGGGGTTGCCGATTCACCTCCACGATGCTAGGGCACTGTTTCACATTGCTGGCCTTTTGGGGAGACCCCTCATCATTGACTCTCCAACTGCCAATTTCTCCCGACCTTCTACTGCCAGAATTTGTATAGAAATCGATGTTTCTAAGGTTCTCCCATCAAAAATCTGGATTGGAAATGGTAGCCATGGGTTTTTTAAATTAGTCCTGTATGAACAGATGCCACTTTTCTGCAATTCTTGCTCTCGTTTTGGTCATAATAAATCTTTATGTCCCCGGAATGAGTCAGGTAAGGCCCTGTTGTTGACCCCGTTATATTGGATACTGCGGTTTTTGTCCCTGCAGTTGCCTTGGGTAGGCCTACTGCCATTGATACTAACGGTGTTGCTTCTGTTATTGATCACTCTATGAATGATACTAATGTGATTAACTCAGTTCAGGATCCTTCTTGTGATAGCAAACCTCTTCATGCTTTTGCTAATAATGATGAAAATGCAGCTCCTCCTGCTATTGATAGTAACAGAGTTACCTCGGTTCAGGCCACTGATGCTATTGGTATAGTACCTTTTGGAGGACCTGCTAATCCTGACAAAACTCCCTCTTTGGATGTACTGGTTAACAGTGCTCAGAATTTGATACCACTTGTTGCTTCTGCCTATTGCGCAGAACCTGTTACCGCCCCGGCAATTTTAGACTATACAGTATGTGATTTGAACAACCAAGCAATGGTTACCAGCCATATTTCTGCTACTGATGATGCTGTTGAGTCAACTCCAGACGCGTGTAATTGTGGCAACACTGCCAGTGAAGGATTTATTGATGCTCAGTTAATTGCCCCTTGCATTTTTGAGGTTCCTGTGGAGGCACAGGTTTACACACCTGCTGCTAACCAGGTTCCTAGATCTGCTGAAGGCCAACCTACTGCCCTGGAAGCAATTAATCATGATGAACCCCTGGTGGCTACCTGTAAAATGGCGGTAACCGAGGGTATTCAAACTATATGTGCAGGTCCTGATCTGGGAATCCCGAATGATGCTAAATTTGGAAATGAAGAACAATTTTCTGATCCATATTTAGCAATTAACAATGCGGATACTACACTTGATCCTCCCCGGTCCAATGATGATAATATATCTGAGGACTCCCCCTTCATTACTAACTTTTCTAATGCAGGTCATCCACAGGCAGATCTTGATGGCTTTACTCCAGTGAGGTTAAAGAAAAATAGAGGCAATTGTGCAATGCCCCCTAACGAAACTCCGGAATCCAAACAACTATTCTACGAGGTGGGATACACATCACACCCGATGATCACAAGAAGTCAATCCAGACGTCCGCAAAATGAAGATGACTATTACATATACCCTGTTGATGCGAGGCTAGACTCTCCGCACAAACTAGCTATGGTACTCGCGCGATACAGGTCTTCTAAACCGGAAGCAAAAACCTACCAACCATATCTCCGAAAGGCTATTCAGTTCCATAACAGATATAATAGATCCATTTCGGCTACAGTCGGGATACCTTCAAAAAACTTCAATTGTTAAACCTTTGTTTCTTTTTTAAGCTTTTGAGTATTAAAAAAAATTGATTGTATGCAATTGGGACAGGTTTGGTCCCCCCAGTTGTCTTTGTGTTATTTTTTGTTTACTGTTTTCTTGGGAGGTATGCCTCCTTTGGAAAGGTTTTTGGTATGGTCCTCCTTTCAATTGTATTTCTACTCATTTTAAATGTTCCCCGGCATTTACCCCAATAAAAAACACAAATAGGTTGTTCATCTTAGTTCTTAATTAAATTAAATCACTCAATCCAAATCCCCCCTTTATTTACTAAGTTTCATAAAAAGAGAATTATTCCTTTCCCTGTGGATACGAACTCTACTACGCTATACTACGTATAAGTGTTTAGTAATGAAATTATTTTGACGCACCGTGACAAAGTGCTCGTCAAATTTGGCGCCGTTGCCGGGGAAAGGCAATTAATTTTTCTTTTTATTTTATTTCAAGAAAAATCAAAAAAAAAATTATATATAAAGTTTTCTATTTTTGCTGAGCTTTGTTTGAGTATATGGTAAAAACCCGATCCATAAACCAACTCACCTACCAAACAAACCCCGAAATAGAAAAAGCTCTCGAGCGGTTAAAAAGTAAATTCTCAAGTACCGACTCGGGGGAATCCTCAAGTGCTAGTTCTCAATCTAGCGAGTCCGAGGAGCCAATATCAATGGCTCTTGAAACAAGAACGCTGAGAGAGCTCACAGCTCCCAATCTAAACCAACAACCCTTATGTATCACCTTCCCAACTCTTGATGCGGGTGCTACATTTGAGTTAAAATCCGGACTCATACATCTACTTCCATCCTTCCACGGGCTAAGAGGAGAGGATCCGAATAAACATCTTTCGGAGTTCCACATCGTTTGCACAAGCATGTGCCCGAACGGTGTTACCGAGGAACAAATTAAGTTGAGGGCTTTCCCGTTTTCCCTCAAAGACACCGCCAAAGATTGGCTATTCTATCTTCCCTCGGGAAGCATAGACACTTGGGCGGCCATGAAGAAGAGATTCCTCGAAAGGTATTATCCCGCCTCAATCTCCTCATCTCTAAAGAAACAAATCAGCAATGTGGAGCAAAAAGATGATGAATCGTTCTACGAATTCTGGGAACGATTCAAGAAACTCTGTGCGAGCTGCCCGTATCACGGCTACTCGGAGCAAGACTTCATCCTTTACTTTTATGATGGTCTTTGCGATGATGATAGACGGACGATCAATGCTGCATGTGGAGGAGGAATAGTCAACAAAACTCCTTCTCAAGCAAGGAATCTTATCTCGGAGTTGGCCGAAAATTGTAGACACTATGATCGGCGGTCAACAAAGAGAGTCATGGCGGCGGAATCCAACAACTCGTTGGAGAGTCAAGTAGCCGGCTTGACTTATTTGGTTAAAGATTTCCTTTTAAATCCAAAAACCCAAGAAGTCACGGTATGCGGCATCTGTTCAACACAATGGGATCCCACAGATTCTTGCCCAACTCTACAAGAGGAGAACTCCGAGCAAGTCAATGCTTTGGGGTTCCAAGGCCAAAGGAGGTACGATCCTCACGGCAACACCTACAATCCAGGATGGAGGGATCATCCAAATCTAAGGTACGGAAACTCTCAACCCCCTCTGTAAGGAATATTTTTTATTAGATTTTGATGATGCTATACTAATTAGGACTTTAGAGTACCCCTCTTTAGATTTAATGTTTTAGAATTTTCCTTGTAAAGTTCCTTAATATAATCGATTGGCAGAAGGCCTCCTGAGCAGAAGACCTCCTGACAGAAGACCTTTGGTAACTTAATGAAGGTCTTTTACCCTTTTACCCTTAAAACGGTATACAGCCGCAAAATATTTACTGTGCCCCTTTTTTCATTTATTGGTACCTCGGAACCGTAAATAATCTCATGCGTCCACTAACCCGAACCCATATATTCCTCTTCCTCAAACCTAAACCGTTACTGCTTTCATTACTCTCAAATTCTCAAACCTCCATAGCTCTCAAGTTCTCAGAAACGTTTCCCTGCTCTAATGGCTTTCATCAACATTAACGACCTCACCAAAGAAGAAATCAATACCTTGGTCACTAACATCTATACTGGGATTAATTGCGATCTTTCCGCACTCCCTGAGCTCGCAGCAAATCATGATACAATGATGAAAATCATCAAGGGAATGGAGGAATCACAACTAAGCAAGGTTGTAGGTTATCATTTCGATTCCTACAGTACGAAGGATGTGGCAGAGTTCTATCTCAACGCCACCTATGAAGGGGAGACTATCAAATCAAATGTCAATGGTGATGACATCATCCTCACTCCAGAAACTATCAACGCCTTGTTTGGCGTAGTGGAGGATCCTCAAGAAGAAGATACTGAAGGCTTCTTAACACTAGACAGCGTCAAGGTCACTGTTGATAACTTTGTTCAACTCTACTGCAGACCTGAAGTGGATAGAGTTCCCAAATTGTACATGAAGAAGAATCTTCTTCAAAGTGACTATGAGAAGCTCGTCAACATCTTCCATAGGTGTGTCTGGAGCAAGAGCACCTCTAGTGACGATATGACAGTTCTCAATGCAAAAGCTGTTTTTGCGGTTCATCATGGGATGAACATCAACTGGGGACATGTAATCATCAAATCCCTAGTTCAATTCATCAAAAAGAAGGACAAGTAAACCGGACTTTTCAAAACCCCCATGGGTTATTGTCTTCTGATATCAGAAACCCTGCTAAAGGCAAGGATAGGGCTGAGAAACCCTATTGAGGCAGACTACACCAAATTACTTTTCCTCAATACCTCTGGTGACAGAAAGATTGCCCTCAAGGCTGAACAGAAGAGGCTGAGGACTCTGGAGTTTAACCGGGAGAAGCTCCAACAGAAGGTGATCAAACCCAAGAAGGCTGTAAAGAAACAACAGAAACCCTCTACCCCATCAGAATCCGAAGAAGAAGAGGTTCTGACAAGAAAACCTGTGAAGAAGGTTGTTTTGAAGAAGGCTGCCCCAGCCAAAGTTCAGAAGCTGGTGGCAAAGAAGTCTGTAATAAAGAGAAAGGCACATTCCCCTATCTCTACAGAAAGTACCCCCTCTGCCTCCCCCATTGCAAAGAAGGCCAAGATTCTGACTCCTGCAATACAGGAGGAGCTTGAGGATTCTGTCACCTCTGCCCCAGTCAACGGAAATGCCTGGCAAGGCAAGAGGGTTGTCTTTGAGTCAAGTGACTCTGAAGAGAAGGTAGTATTACTGGATGCTACTATTCAGGGGGAATCTCACAGATCTCCCTCTACACCTATGCTTGATCAACCCATGATGCCTTCCTCACCAGAATATCATGAAGTTAACAGAACCCCTGAACCTCAGGAGAATATCCCCTCTGCTCTAGAAAAGGAATTTCTCAGGGTTCTGGCTTGGATGAAGTGGAGAGTGGGATCTCTCTCTGAACTGCTCAGAATGCTCCCAAACTTTATACCTGAAGAAGCTGAAGTTCTGAAGTGGGCTGGTACAGAGGATGTTGAGCAATGCCTTCACAAGGACTTCCTTCTATCTGTTCTAGCAGAGAAGAAAAAGAAGGAATGCAAAGGCAAAGGCAAGCACACTCAAGACAATGAAGAAGAGCATGTCAAAGCTCTGACAGAAGATGAGATGACAGCCTTTGATGAATGGCTGATTGAAAAGAAGATGAAAGAATCCCTCATCAACCCTCACCCAGAATCCCCATATCACCTCCTAAATCTCCCTCTATTCATACAGAACCTCATTTTCCTTCTCCTCCCATATCACCTCCTAAACCTCAACCCTCACCCAGAATCCCAACTCCTTTTGCCACTCCACCCCAATCTCCTCACCAGAAATCCCCATCTCCACAGAAATCCCCATCCCCACAGAAATCCCTCCCACCACAGAAAACAACTCCTCCACAGAATGCCCCCTCACCCTCACCCCAGAAAACTCCTTCTGTCAAATCCAATTCTTCTTCCCCGTGTAAACCAACACCTTCTAACAGAAATCGTTCTCCTTCACCTCCACCATCTCCTCCACAACAGAAAATCCCTTCTCCCCAACCAACACCCCAACACCAGAAAACCCCCTCAACTCATAAATCCCCTACTCCACTTCAACAGAAGTCACCCTCTCCTGCAGCAAATTCTCCCAGAACCTCTATGCATTCTGCCGCATCTACTCCCAAGAGACAGCCTCTACACCGTATCCTCTCTTCTGATAATGAGAATGATGGTTTCCTTCCATCCTCCCTTGCTGGAGATCTCACCTCCAAACGACAACCAACTCCTGCCAGAGAACCTTCCCCTCAGAAACCTTCTCTGCAACAAACCAGAAGGCCCCCTATGCACAGGTCCAGAGGACTGGGGATGCCAGAACCTGCAGGGACAGAACCCCAAATTCCCTTCAATCAGTTCGTTGAAGCTGCAGAAGAATTTGGTGGTCAAATTTTGGATGGCATGAACAAACTGATACAAATCAACGACAAACACTTTGAGCACCTATCCCACGTCAATGACAACTTCAACTCTGGCATGGACTTCATCTCATCCCGCTTTGCTGTCCTAACAGAATCCTTACACAACTTCATGGATTCATCCACTGCTAAGACTGAAGCTCTGTCAACCGAAGTAGAAGGCATTCATAAGACCTTATTCACATTTCACCAAACCCTGTTGGCTCAAGGTGAAGCAATTCAGACCATCTCCTCCAATCTTGAAGAACTTCAATGGGCTGACACAAAGACTAAAGAGCAGTTACTCGACATTGAAGAACTCTGCAAAGTCCACCGTGATCAAACCAGAACTCTGTTTTCTGATGACAAAGAGAGATACCAGAAATCGGTTCTCCTTGAAGCAAGTTCCAAGGATATTGCCTCAGCTGTCCACAAACAACAAGGTCTGATAGAAGGTCTCACCTCTGTTACACAAACCCTTCCAGAAACCCTTGAACAGATTGCCACATCCCAGGAAACAGAATTTCAGAAGATTGCTATGATGATCTCTGACCTGGATGATGCCAAAAAGGGGGAAGAGGACCCTCATCCAAAGAAGAAGCAACTTGCCAGAACCTCAGCTGGCCCCTCTGTTGATCCAGCTCCTTACTTTCAGGCTTCCATGCAAAAGAAGAAAGAAGCTGGAGTCTCTAGACCCTCATCTCCCCACAGAACCTCATCCAAGAAGAGAAAAGCTCTAAACTTCAGGGAATGGAGATTAAATGGATCT